CACACACACACACACACACACACACAAAGAGAGATCGTACTGAGCAACTCGTTGTCTACATACCAGTCTTAGCATCGTTGATTTCCCACTCCCATTCGGTCCGGTCAGCACAGCTGCATCTCCCTCATGCAGAGTGAGGTTCATCTCTCTCAAGATAACCTCTCCTCCTCGCATGCAGCCGACCCGGCTAGCCACCAGCCTGGGCACAGGAGGGGGCATAGGCCCACCATGTGACGGCTCTGCGGAACTCCAGAACATCATCCTCGATACATCTGTGTCTGCTGTGGGTTGGCCGCTGGCACCCAATGTGACAGAAGATACAGACTCTCCATGGTAACTTGAACTCGATCGCTGCTGCATTTTCCAAGACAAGCGTGCAGCTGCAGTCCCGCTAAATCCCCCACACAGAGCATCAGGGTGGTGCTGTTTTCTCGCTTGCATTTGCCGCAGCAGAACAACATTCCTCTCAATCTGCTGTTGTCTTCCCAAGGAGGATGCTCCCCCAGCCGTCCGTCGTACGACCACATGTTTCCACTCGCGCAATGCAGCTGCTAAGCGCCTCCCCATTTCACTGTTGACCTGATGACCAATCACGCTGTTGACCTGAGACCAAGCCTTGATAATCAGTCACACCGTTGACCGGAGAACAAACCGCATTGACCTGAGAACAAACCGCGAAACAAGAATCGGTGCACTTACGTCAGCCACAGTTTCATTCGGTCTGTTGACCTGAAGGTCAGTCAGTCTGTCGACCAAAGGGTCAACCAGGATGTTGAACTGAGGGTCTATGAGGACGTTGACCTGGGGTCAGTCAGTATGTTGACCTGCAGGTCAGTCAGTATGTTGACCTGCAGGTCCGTCAGTCCGTTGACCAAAGGGTCAGCCAGACAGTTAACCTGTGGGTCGATCAGCATTTTGACCTGACGGTCAATCCATCGGTTGACCTGAGGGTCCGCCAGTCTGCTCACCTGAGCGTCACTCAGTCTGTTGACCTGAGGGTCAGTCAATCGGGTGTTGACCTGAGGGTTAATCGGTTGACCTGAGGGTTAATCGGTTGACCTGAGGGTTAGTCAGTCCGTTGACCTGAGGGTTAGTCGGTCTGTTGACCTGAGGGTTAGTCAGTCTGTTGACCTGAGGGTTTGCCAGTCTGCTCACCTGAGCGTCACTCAGTCTGTTGACCTGAGGGTCAGTCAATCGGTTGACCTGAGGGTTAATCTGTCTGTTGACCCGAGGGTCGGTCTGTTGACCTGAGGGTCAGTCGATCTGGTGACCCAGACTCCCAAACAAGCATTCACTGATGTAAGTGAATCTTGTTGATCCAAGGGTGGCAGTCAGTATCTTGACCTGAACACAAACAACAAAACAAGCAACCCACCTATGTCACTCAGCCTCAAGTCCGTCCGATGACCTGAAGGTCAGCCAGTTCGTTGACCTGAGGCCCACCCAGGTCAGTCAGTCTCAGTCAGTGGGTTGACCTGAGGGTCAGCCAGTCCGTTGACCTGAGACCCACCTAGGTCGGTCAGTCTCACTCAGTCGGTTGACCTGAGAGTCAGTCAGTCCGTCTGTTGACCTGAGGGTTAGCCAGTCCGTCGGCTGATCGCAACCGCCAATTAAGCATTGGCATACGTCAGTCAATCACTACTGTGCAGGTGCATCTGACTGCAGTTGCGGCCACATTCTGCCCACAGGATCGTTAGCCTCTTCATATGAGAAGGAAAACAAACACCAGCACAAGCATTTACTGGAGTCATTCCGTCTCAGTTAGGCCATACTCACAGTTGTACCTTTCCGACAGAATGTGGTCGCAACTGCAGTCAGATACGTCCCAGAAATTCCTATTGTGAGTATATGCCCTTTTACTGATAGTCTCTCTTCCCCTTAGGGTCCTTCCGGTCTATCAACCTGAGCAGCACCACGATTAGAGCAAACAAAACAAGCATTCAGTTAATATCCTAAACCCCCCCTTCGTTCCTAAACCCCCCCTTCGTTCCTAACCCCCCCCCTTCGTTCCTAAACCCCTCCTTCGTTTTCTAAGTAAGTTATGAACCCTTCTTTTTGTTGTTAATTAATATGCTAATAATCAGAGTAGCCACCCATTTGTCAGAACCTAGACTTGATGGTGTTCTCAGGCTTATCTGACATCCTTGAATCCTTCTCCTTTTTTTTTTTCTTTTTTGTTTGACAGCCTTTTCCCTTGGGCCCTCAGCCCAGACATCAAAACGAACATGTTATTACACAGTACTTATTACGCCATAAACCACCTCCACACAGGAGGGACTCCACTCCACCTCCACATAGGTGAGACTCCATTCTCCCAAAATTCTGACGAGAGTAGGAGAAGGGGAAGAAGCACGCTGTGCAGGAAAGAGAGACAGAGATAGAGCTCACAGAGGGAGGAGAGGGAGGAGAGGGAGGAGAGGGAGGAGAGAAGCGAAAGTGCAGTCGCTCTGGGAGGTGGGAACGGTCTGCGATATCAGGACAGCCAGCAAAATCAAAAAATACCAAAAAAAAAGACGGCGGCGATGGAGAGAGAGGGAGGGGTAAATGCAGATCAGGAAGAGGGTTAGGACACTCCATATCAAATGCAGGGGTGAGACGCGGGAGGCGAGGGAGGGGCATTTGAGGGGTTCCCTGTCAAATGTGAATCGGGAAAGCAGGGGCAGTAGGGTGATGACTGCTGGTTATTCACCGCAATCCATTGAGCTATTTTCATCAACAATCCATTGCGAGATTGTAAATCAATCAATCAATCCATTGACCGATTTTAAATTTTAATCAATCAATTGACCCCATCTTAACGAGAGGAAAAGGGCTCGACTGGGAGTATTGGTTGTTGAGGAATGGACGAGCATCGCTCATTGATTCTGCACCCTTTGATTCCGACACAGGGCTGATGAGCATTTGCTGTTGCCGTCAACAACCCCGGCATGCGCAAAATATGAAAGAGGGGAGATGAGCATTTGCTGTTGCCGTCAACAACCCCGGTCTGGCAACATCCCCAACCCAGGGCTGATGAGCATTTGCTGTTGACGTCAGAAATGGAGATTCAAATTAGGGTTTAGAAGGGGGGGGGGGGGGGGAACCCCTACCGTAGAATGGAGATCCAAATTAAGGAGGAGGGGGGGGGGAAGGGGAGAGAAAAAACAAAGGTATGATAGCAATGGAGTGACGGGAGGAGCAAATAGACTCCCACTTCTGATCAGTTTAATATCTTTTTTTTTATTATTATTTTCATCAGTTTAATATCTGATGTGGTCCACCGAAAAAGACAAAAAAAAGGAACAAAAAGAAAAAAGAAAGACTCCAGATGAGAAGAGACAATGACAACAGAGCAGCACACAAATGAGCAAAAGGGACCCAAAAAAAAAAAAAAGGTGCATGCTAGAGGAGAAGAGCTCAAAGAAGACGTAGTTAGTAATATCGCACGATCAATATTTCGTCATGATCTTTGTTTTTTTTTCTCTTTCTTTTATCTTTTCAAATTTAGAATACTTTAGGGCGGGACTTGAGAGTGAGGATGGGCGTGGCTCCATGAAGAGACGACAATAGCCCGCCCGAAGATCACTGTCCCAGTGGGATCTCTTTCTGCCCTGTCCCTCTCCCATCTCGTCCTCTCTCACTCTTACCCTCCTCTTACTATTTCCTCTCTCTCTCTCTCTCTCTCTCTCTCTCTCTCTCTCTCTCTCTCTCTCTCTCTCTCTCGTTCCAGGGGGTGCGGCCGGTCATTAACGACCGCCAAATGCCCTCTCTCTCTCTCTCCCCCCTTGTTCCTTGATTCCCTCCGTCCCGCCTGTTCGATTCCATCTTGCAATTCGTACCCCCTTCATCCCCCCTCCCGATCTTCCCTCCCCTAATCCACTTTTCCCCATCCTCTTCTCTCCTTCCCCGTCTTTCAGCACTCCTGTCTCTACTCCCCTGGCATCCTCTCCGAGCTCCTACCCCTCCATTACTCGATATCGCCCCTGCGGATCTGGTACGTCCTTTCCTCTCTTCCTTCGTCTGTCGCTCTTTCCCTCTCCATTGCCCTCACTCCATCACCAGCATATCCACATTTACCCTATCCCTCCCATGATTCAGGCCTTTCGTCATTGTCCATCTCTTTCCTTCCCATACAATGTGTTCCCCTCCCTCCACGCTGAGCCCCTCTTTCCACCCTTGCAGTCTCTTCTTCCCTACCTTGTCCGGATCCCAATCCACGATCTGCATTTCTTACCCTGTTGCCCCTGCACTTCATCGGTCCCTACATCCTCACTTTGATTTGGCTGGCAGTCCGACCTCCTCCTCCTCCTCCTCCTCCTCTTCCTCCTCATCCCACATCATTCCGAACCCCCCCCTGCCAATCCGCGCTGCCCATCCCTTTCTTCACAAATTGGGTCCCCCGACCTCCATCCACCTCCCATCTACTCGATGACCCTACTCGACGTCTCCCTTCTCCAAAACCCCTTCTTGACGGCCGCAAACTTACCTTGCATGCTTCACCCTATCCCGACCCAGTGACTCTCCCTCTGCTTCCTCTGTCCCCCCATCCCATACTGACCGACAAAATTATGACGCTCTCATCCTCCTGATCCCGCATCCTCCCCCTCCCCCTTCCTCCTTCTCCTGCTACTCCAGACCGTCGACACTTCGACGGCGTCCTTCTCCTCTCTTCTCCTCTCTGCCTGACCAGCCACCTGACCCCCCCCCCCAAGTGTTCATTTCACCCCTCCCTCTCCCCATTTCCCGGCATGACCGCCGCCTACTCCCTCCGATAGCGGCCGTGCACAAATCCTGTCCCACTTGCAACATAGGGCCTTGCTCCACTACTCTCGAAATGTGCAAAATGCGAGTGAATCTTCCAGTAGAACATAGAAAATACACCGCCGTGATTTTTGTCTTTTGTGAATGTCGAGAGCAGTGGAGCCAGGCCCATAGCACCCCAACGAGAAATGTAGTTGCAGGCCTAAACGAATCGACCAATGGACGGAGGGAGGAGGAAAGGAGGGATGTAGGGTGGCACACAGAGAGAGAGAGAGGGTGGGTGCACTTCGCCACGGCGGGCGAACCCACCTATTTCGCTTTTTGGGCCGAGAGTGAACGGGACTCTCCACCCACCACAGGACTGTGTGAGCGCGCGTGTATGTGTGTGTGTGTGTGTGTGTGTGTGTGTGTGTGTGTGAGAGAGAGAGAGAGAGAGAGAGAGAAAGAGAGAGAGAGAGACCTATTTCGTTTTGGGGCCGAGTGTGAACTCGACTCTCCACGCACCTGAGTGAGTGCGTGAGTGAGTGGGTGAGAGCGAGAGTGAGTGTGTGTGTGTCTCCGTGTGTGTGTGTGTGTGTGTGTGTGTGTGTGTGTGTGTGTGAGAGAGAGAGAGAGAGAAGAGAGAAACCTATTCGTTTTGGGGCCGAGTGTGAACGGGAGCCTCCACGCACCGCACCGCTGTGTGAGTGAGCGAGCGAGCGTGTGTGTGTAGAGAGAGAGAGAGACAGAGTATGATAGAGAGACCGGTTCGTTTTTGGGCCGAGTGTGAACGGGACTCTCCACGCACCACACCGCTGTGTGTGTGCGTGTGTGTGTGTGAGAGAAAGAGAGAAAGGAAATAGGCGTACTTCTGGGGCTTTTTTTGTTCTTTTCTTTTTCTTGCGCAGGGGACCATTTCTCGATTTGTGCGTGTCA